TGTAGACAACTCGTTAAAATGGGACTTTCACATTGAAGCTCTATCAAAGAAACTAAGCGCTGCCTGTTTTGCGCTAAGATAAGTTTCTAGGGAACTTAACTTCTCAACCTCTAGAATAACCTATTATGCCCTTTTTGAGTCACATCTTCGTTATGCCCTTCCATTCTGGGGTACTTGCTGCGCAACAAAATTTGATCGTGTTTTCATACTTCAAAAGAGAGCAGTTCGATATTTATTGGGACTGAACAGTAGAACTCACTGCCAGAATTTCTTTAAAAATTTGAAAATACTGACTCTTCCTTCTTTATTCATTTTTGAATCCGTTTGCTTAATCCGCAAGCACATATCTGCTATTCCCGAAAGGCCATCTCATAACTATCCACTTAGGAATGCAGAGCGAGCACGATCTTCATCTGCCAACCCCGAGCTCAGAACTAGTTAAGGGTTCAATACTGTACAATGCCAAAAAAATGTACAATCATCTGCCTTTGAATATCAAATCGCTTTCATTCTTTCCCGCATTTCGCAAGGCTCTAAAATCATACCTACTGGAGAGAGCCCTATATGCGGTAAACGACTTTTTTGTTGATGTTTAATTATGAACAATTTTGAATTTTAAAATTTTGATCATCTCACACACTGGTCAAAGGTCAAGTATTTAATATTCTATAACTTTAAAATTATATCTATTTACTGCGTACTGTTCTAAAATTGCCCATGTATATTCTTTTTGTAATTTTAAAGAGTTAAATTTTTTTGAATTGTATTATTTGTATTGTGTATTTTTTGTTGTTTGTATTTTTTTGTGATTTTGTTCTTTGTGAGTGCTTTGTCGATGAAGCTGTTTTGGCTTTTTGCACAATAAAGCGTTGTTTTTTTGTTTGCTGTTACTCATCACCTATTATCTCTATTAGGGTACGTTTATGTTGGAGCTGCGATAAACGATAAAAGCACTGAATTAGCGTTGTTCTTTTCGTTGCTCAACTGCCAAGCGTGTCTCGACGCGTTGTTCCAATATAAACACCTACATATAAATTAATATAATAATAATATTATTATATTAACTATATTAACAAATAACTATCTAGCAAATACTTGTATTTTTGTCAATGATGACATGTATTGATAATTTCTATTTCAAATATCTTGAGAACGGTTGATCGCAGCGATTTTTACCAAAACATATTTTTACAAAAAAATAGCGGGAATATATGTAATTTTTACTCAGTAGTTTAGGTACAGACGAAAAGTTATTACCCTCCAAAACAACTGTTACCAACATTATACCAATTTTCGTCCAATTATCGACCCTCGTTCAGAATTATTTGGAAAAAATAGAAATAAAAATGAAACTTCTACTACGAACTTTTTTACTTATTTTCTATCTTTCTAAAACTTCACATTTAAAGATAAGGATAGGTACCTTATTACTTACTTATTACTTTTTTAATACGGAATTTACTTTTTTAATACGGAATTTATAGCCTGTAATTTTTTATTAAGTATATGAATAATGTGTAAATATTGTTTATCTCTCTATTGTTATTTTGGAACTGTCTCGTATATTTTGATTTCTTTACATTGAAGATCATCCTGGAAATTAAATTTATTTTTGTTATTATAATTTCTCAACATAATTAATTACTGCTATAATTATGAATTATGAATAATTTTCACTTGAGTTAACTATCAAATATATATTTTAATATTGTTATATTTTTGGAATTCATGTGCTATATTGGTGTTAGGTTGAAAGTATTATGCATTTGTTCTCATATTAAATTCCTTTTATTTAAGAATAATGGGGAACTACAATTTTAATATTTTTTTCGAACTGTCAGAATTGCATTAATAGTACATCAAATAAAAAAATAGATTTTTATAGACAAAATAAGCAAAAAATAGGGAATAATGTTCTAAATTTCAAACTAATAGATGAGGGATCGTTACATCAAATATTAAATTCTATTCGGTCTAATGCTGTCGTTGAAGATGATTTATCAATTAAAGCACTAAAGCTGTGCATGCCTTACTGTGGTAAAGCGGTAATAAATATAATTAATACTTCTATTTTAGACAATGTCTATCCCGAAATATGAAAAAAAGCTATTATAACACCTCTCTGTAAAATTTCCAAACCTTTAAATAACAACGATCTAAGACCCGTGAGTATTTTGCCAGCAATTTCTAAAATTATAGAAAAACATCTACATAATCAAATTGTTTCATTTGTAGATTCAAATAAACTAATACCTGAATGCCAATCTGGTTTTCGTAAGAACTACAGCACTACCACTTGTTTACTAAAGCTGGTTAATGATATTAGAACAAATCAAGAAAATAAAAATATGACGTGTCTTAGCTTACTAGACTTTAGTAAAGCATTTGATACTCTAGACCATTCATTGCTCCTAGCAAAATTACAGTATTTTGGATTTTCAGACGGCTCTTTAGAATTGATAAAAAACCTTTTAAAAGATAGATCACATTGTGTTGTCATGAAACGGGGTAGTTTAAAACAAAAATCTAGTTACATTCCTATGATTTCTGGGGTTCCTCAAGGATCTATTCTGGGACCACTTTTATTTTCGTTATATTTAGCTGATATGGATAAGGAATTACAGTTTTCTAAATTGCAGCAATATGCGGATGATTCTCAAATTTATTGCAGAATAGATACTAATAATTTGGCACAATTTCAGTTAAATTTTAACGACGATTTTAATAAAATTAATAAATATGCTCTAGATCACAATTGGAAATTAAATGCCGGTAAATCTTGTGTTATAGTATTTGGTAGTGATATAAACAAAATTACAAATACGGCTGGTAACATGAATATCCATATAGATAATGTTGCGATACCCATTGTTACAAAGACTAAAAATCTTGGAGTTTATTTTGATTCGAAGCTTTCATTTCAGGCACATATAACTACTAAATTAAAGGCTGCTTATATACGGTTGAAGAATTTTTCGTCTCTTAAGAAATATATACCATCAAAGACTAAGTATCAATTATGTGACACACTTATTTTATCTTTATTTGATTATGGCGATGTTGTTTATGGTACATCCATAAACGCTAGATTCTCTAGAAAAATCCAAATACTTCAAAATTCGTGTCTACGGTTTTCTTTTAACATTCCTTTTAGAGATCATATAACGCCACATCTTAAAAATTTATCTATTTTATCCATGACTAACAGACGACAATTTCATTTAATGACATTCATTTATCGAATTTTAACTACAGAGCAGCCTCCCTATTTGTTCTCATTGTTTCACTACGTCGACCATGATCATTCGACTAGACAAGTGCATTATTTTAAAATTCCTCAACACCGAACAGCTAACTTCCAAAAATCTTTCAGTATCATAGCGCCACATTTGTGGAATAATATTTCTAATAACTTTAAATTTCAATCCTTTACAGATTATAAGAAACAAATTAAAAATCATTTACTAAATTCGTAAATATTATAATTTCTTCGACTGATTTGTGAGATCTTGTTCTTCTGATATGCCCGTCATTGGTTGCTGTTCCGGTTTTTACACTGTTTCATTATGCCTCTCTGCTTATCTCCGCTCGTCCCTGATAAAATTATATTTTCACTTTTTTTATATAATTTTAATTTTTTTAATTCTCTTTGTTTTTGTAATTTAATTTATTTCTATTTTGTATTTGGGGTCGCACCACTCTGGCACTTTGTGCCATTGTATCGGTTTTTTAATCGCGTTGCGATCCCTTTAGACACACATTTATTAATACTAATATTATTCTGTAAAACTTAATGGGGTCTTATAAAGAAATTTGAATTTGAATTTGAATTATTAATTTCAATAGTCAGAATTGACCGAACCCTGAAATTGGTTGCTTTGCACTGTTTAGGACTTATCAGGCGACTTTTCTAGTTTAATGGCTTGTTTACTACCACAAACATTTTGCAATAAAGAATCAACTAAAGCTAGAACGACGATATTCTACGCCCACTGTGACGTCGTTTTCATTATACTAAAGTGAAAAAACGTGAGCGGCGGTAATAAATTATTTCTTTCTAAGCTCGATTTTCTTAATTTTCCGCCAAATTTATCTCGTTCAGTGGGTTATTTTATCTTGACAATGGCGATGATGGAACCGTTTCAATTTAGTTAAGTAGTTTTCCTAATTTTCTAAAAAGTGCTCGTCGACCGACAAAAATAAAGATCCACGAAATATTATTTGTTATCATTTTATGACGATGCGCCTGATTTTAATGAAAAGTAATGTTGTCTTCTGGAAAATATTAATAACATTTTGGGAAAGAAGATGTTTTACCGTGTGAATACCTAATGTTAGTGACACTATTAATTATAATAAAAACAGTTTAATATATTTGTATTAAGCAGACGGCTTTATTAGGCAATTTTTTGGCGAATTTTTTGAAAGCTTAATTATTAGAACGTTAATATATTTTGAAATATATTATTACCAATGCAATACAAGTTTATGTGCATGGATTCTAATTCCCACAGTATAATGTTATAATTTTCTGAAAATATTTATTTATAATATAGTCCAATCAAATTAAAGGGATCACTTGTAAAAACGTGTAGGAAAGCTAATTAATGTTTTGTTTCCAAAGTTTGCACGGTTGATCGACCGCCGCTCGACCCAGGAGGTTCAAAAGATGGCAAAATTGTTGGATTTTTTTCAAATTTTTGTCTAAAGTTCCTGAATTCTAGTGAACATTTCGTTACTACGCAGCAGTGGGACTCTGTGTCATGTAGAATTCTACATATCGTCAGAATTCTATAGGATCGGCACTCCGTGCAGCAACGATATCGATAAGATGCGATTATTTTGGTCGCTTGATTTCTACATTTCAATTGGTATCGAATTCTACGTAGCGCACGCGTATTGAGAATATATTTGACATTTAAGGTTATTAGATTAAGTTATCTATTTTGTCTCAGAGGAATTTGCTAATCTAAGATTTTGTTTGTTGTTGTTTATGTTTTTGAGTTGTTGACAACTCTATTTTGTGTGACAGTTATTTAAATATGTTGCCAATTAACATAATAAATATCATGGCAGCAGGAGAAGAGGAAAGGCTAGAAGATTATAATTTGTTTCTGTACTAAATAAACAATATTTTGTTTAAAAAATATATATAATATGGTAATAATTATGAAATAAACACACAATAAACATGAACGGCCTTCAAATATTTCAACTGTCGCCGATTGAGCTCGCCTGAATAGCACCTTTCTGAATGAGTGCTTTTGTACTCTAACTTTCTTTTTACACTGGGTGTTAGTGAGGCACTGGTGGATGCTGCATTAATCTCAACATTTAATGGGGTACTGGGAGTTCGTGTGGCACTGGTGGATGGTGCATCAGTCTCCATATTTTTGAGAATTTCAACCTATTAAAAAAATTATATTAATTTTTTAATTAACAAACCAATTAAAGAACATGATAATGTAAATGCCCTTGTGACTTTTTTCAACTAACATAAAGTAGCACTTACTTTTCCAAATCCTAACTCGGGCACTATCTCGTCACCATAAATTGCCTTATTCCCCATAATTTTTAAAATTCTTTTCTCTAATGTTGTTAATGGAGGAACCTGAGGGGGGCCACCACCAGTTCGTTGCTGCTCCATTTTTATGGCAGAAGCCTTTGATTTTGTTTTGCATTTCCAATCAGTAAATCAGTAAGCGTCTGAAAATAAATATGTTTGTAATATTACTCTTACCACTTAATTTATAACTTATTTCCAGATTAATAAAGGTCTGTGACGGGATAATAACATACTTACTTACTTTTCGCCAACCATCCACGGTTTTTTCACTATATCCTAAACTATTCAATTGTACCGAAACACTTTGCCATAAGGCATTGCATTCCTTCAGTTCCATTAAATTTATTTGTTATTAATTCCGGATTGTTCTCGCAAACGTTTAACAGTAAGTTCCAATGTTCGGCCCTTACTCTCATTTTGCTAATCAAAATGATATAATAAAGATTCTTAATTTTTTTTACTGAAGATGTTTTAATATTTAAACTAATTTTTGGTTAGGATATCTATCATGTAAACAAACGTTCTATGCGTTCTCTGTTTACACGCCGGAGTATGTTTCCACATTATCTAAATGTGCGATAAACAAAGACGAAAATAACACCAAAATTTGTATCAGGCGCTTCATTTGCTAATGTTTGTAGGATTAATAGTATCGCTAGCGAAAAATACGCGAAAACAGCCGAACGAAAACGATATCGGCACAGAGTGCCAATAAACTCTACTATCGCCGTCCTCCGATAGAAAGGGATAATAGAATACTATTATAGATTTCTATATAACACGGAGCCCACTGCAGGGGTTACTACGCATTTCGTTATTTCGATATGGGAAAACGGGAAAATTCCCGGTGGGTCGGTCCCGATCAGAGCTCAAAAAAGATTGTATTAGCAAAAATTAAATGGTTAATCTTCTAACTAAAGTGACGTAAGATCCTTAGTGACTTCATAACTAACTAATCAATTTGCATCAGTATAATCGTTAGTTGCTTTTAAACATAAACACCAATTTGTAAAATGTCATTCTCGGGGACACAATAATCATCTGTTTGTTCGGTTTCAAAATTTTTATTATGTGTGTATAAGGTGAGTCAGTCTATAAGTGCAAATATTTTCAGGGCTGGTAGATCTCAATAAAATAAACATAATATATTCTCTTTATCGAGTTTCAAATAAGTCCAATTATTATTAGTTATTAAAGTTTGGAAATTTAAAAAAATATATATATTTTAAATTTTCTTTTCGGTATTTGTATCTTTTTTTGGGCCGAGATTAAGCCGAGATTAATATCAGAGATTAAGAAACTATACACGTGGGAAAATTTGCGGTGAACAGGAAGTTCTAAAAAGTTTTCTAAAATAAACAGGAAAATTTAAAAGAAAATACTCGATTTTTAACACCTTTTTTTGCAAAAAAACCTCATAGACGTGTTCCTGGGGTCGAAATATACCACCCCTGAAGATATTTGCACTTATTTAAGACTCACCCACTATTCTTTTATTAATAACTAATAAATATGACTGACTGGCAGCAAAAAAAAAGTATGAATAGCATTAGGTAAACTTAAATAGTCTCGATCTAAATGTATACTAAGAATACGGTAGCGTAGATTGACAACTGGGGGTCTCGGTGCAATATTTTTCGAACTACCCTTTGTAAAACGGTAGACGAATTTGACGCGCACTCTGCTGTTGACTATGCTTGGTTTGAATTGGGGACGGACTAAAAGCCAAGTCTGAGAACTAAAAGCCAAGTCTAAATTGTTGTTTAAAATGTTGCTAAAATGAATTGGCGAAAAATTACTGAGACAGCAGAGAAGAGTTAAGGTTTAAACTAGATTAGATAATAAAATATTATGTCTCGAAAATCCAAATATTCTTATTATGGACTGTAACATAGCATCACATCAGAACACAATTATATCCACTGCCTAGGTATTGCTAGGTTTTTTTTCGTTTGAGTCATGCCATTATCATACAAGATGCCAAATGTAGAAAAGTGTAGAAGAAAAGTTCCGTGATAAGAACTAAAATAACCCAAAAAATGCTGCAGTTTTAATGGCGCGACCGCGGTTCATTCAGTTAAAAACACGTGTACACGAGGAGGCTGCTGGTGTAGCAGAAAAGAGAGAGCTAAAAGTAATATATTACACAGAGGATTGGGTCAGCTGTACCGAACGAATCAAGAGGTCTTAAAGTTTCTCCAAATCGTGACTTAAAATCTTAGCCTATTCAAATCAAATTACCGTTAGCGCTAATGAAAATAAAGCAGCAGAACCCTGTAAAACTGAGCCATTTTGTAGTAAAAATTCAGATGTCCGACCCAATATTGGTTTTTACGAAAATTTTCATCAAGACAATTTATTTTCAAAGTAAAACCTCTGAAGGCGGGTAGGGGGACAAACAGCCTTCAGAGGATTCAAACAGGCAATGCCAGTTTATTTTAAACGTGGTTCTTTTAAAACATATATAGCGTAATAATTACTTTAAAAGGACTAAATATTAGATATCCGATAAAATAGTATTCACTCTATTTTGAATACTTTAATTTTTTTATTATGTATATAAAACAATATTATATTATCAACAATGGTTTATGAAACAAATAATTAGGTAAAACGAATTCCATAGAACGAGTTAGTTATTTTAACGTAATTTATTGCGCATTTTACAATGCATATTTTTTCTCAGTGTAAATAATCCTTTCGAATATAATTTTTAGTAATGTTTGGGTTGGAATAGTCCAGTAAATAGGAGACGAAAAGACCCAAGTCTATTTGAATGAAGACGATTCGTCGACCATGACTTGTTAGGCGGATTGTGTACCTTTTGGGGAGTAGATTTAGGGAAAAAAATCTGTAACACCGTACTCGGCCAGCTTTGGCCGAAAAAATGGCTCCAATTATAAAATTGTTTTTCAAATAAAATGAAGCTTAGGTAATTATATACAAAAATGGTCCTTATCATTTTTTCCGTAGAATTAGTAGTTTTCGAGATATTACGCCTCGAAGATCCCTGAATTTTCTCTCCAAGTCTTAACAATCCGGAGATAGATTTCATACGCATATCATTGATTAATAGGACAAATTGTTTAATAATTCGACTAAAATTTAATATTTTTTGATGATTCAGTTTTTTTTCGTTCATTTAAAGTTCATTTAAGACGTAGGATCAACAGCTATCACATTTTGCAATTTGTTTGAATTTTGTCATATTTTATAATAATAAAAAAACCGGGCAAACTTTTATTGGCTATTTTGTTTGAAGCTATTAGTAGTGAAAATATGAATTTAAGCTAGGCGTAATTCGTCGACACGGACCGTGAAGCACGACCGTGGCTCACGCTTTCGTGAGTCACGCGTCATGTCAACAGGAGAGTCGTGAAAGACAATCGAAAGGAATTGACACGAAAGGCGTCACGATCGTGCGCAAGCGAATCAAGCGTGTTTGGTATTTCACGAACCATTTAATAGATTTCAGTAGTAGTGAAGGAGCAGTCGGCCGTTGAAGTTGCACAAAATGAGTGGTGGAAATCTAAGAATGAGCGACGCAGAAACTCTAAAATTTTTGGAGTTGTATAGAAATGAACCTGTACTATGGGACCCTACAAATCGGGATTATAAAAAAAGGGACAGACGTGTTGCAGCAGCCCAAAGAATAGCAGACACCTTAAATTTACCAGGTTTTACACCACCTCATGTAATAACTAAATTTAAAAATTTACGCAGCTCGTACGCCCAAGAATTGAAAAAAATATCTGGAAGTAAAAAAAGTGGAATTTCTGCGGACGATGTATATATGCCAAAAGTAATATGGTTCAGAGAAATGGACGCTTTTTTAAGGCCATATGTGAAGGCTAGATCAACACAGTCCAATTTGGTGAGTAAAAAATAATTAATAATTATTCTTAGATATGTATTTTATTGGGTAAAAGTAACAAAGTTCACATAAACGAATAAAATATACCAAAAAATACGTATACAGGATGTTCAGATAAGGATGGTGCGGCAACTTTTTAAAAGGTTAGAAAAAAATATAAAAAAAGAAGGTAAACATTAAAAAGAAAACCGCAGCGCACGACTGCTCTTCGTCTGGTGAACAATAATAGGTGTAGGTTCATTTAATTATTTTTGCATATTGTTGGGCACCACTTAATTTAAGCCAAGTTAATGTGATATTTAAAAAATTAAGAAAATTACCACAGGCTTCAGTAATGATATATCTCAAATTAAAAAGAGCAAAATTTAATAAAAAACTATGTACATTTTTTAATAATTAAATAACTCCAGTTTGAAAGTGAATAAAAAAAGTCATTTAAAAAAAATACAATAAATTAATGTTATTTTGATATATCGAAACTTAAATTAAATATTATCAATTATAAATTACTAAACGTAATAGTTGTGTAAATTTCATGAGAAGGTTTCAATAAAAAGGTCTTGGAATGTTAAGAAAAAAGAGCAAAAAGATTCTAAAACAAAACGTAAATCAGTACTTAGCTTTTGCTCTGAAGCTGTAGTCAATCAGTGTTGATTTGGTTACGTACTTGGACCCATATCCATTACGTAACTGCTTCAAACCATCAGAAAACTTGGAAATTTGCGAAAAAAGGGGGAACTCGCCCTTCACACCAGCCCTCAACAGGGAACTTTCAAGGAACCATTCATTAAACCAAAAACTGCTCAAAAACTTCTGCTTAAAAAAACTCCTCCAAAATGTTCTCGTTTCCAAAACGAAAGTTGCTCCCAAAATGCCAATTTCTGCCCTTAAGTTGGTAAAAGGGATATCTATAATAAATGATTTTTCTCTAAGCATACGAAACAAAGTAAAAGAAGAAAAACTATAACCCTTAACATACTCGCAAGGCTATTCTCCGCCACATACAATGTACAAAAACTTGTGACGCTCCCCCGTTTTTGAGAGATGTCAAGGACGCCGAGTTGCCTTGTTTCGGTTCCTCGGGCGCCACCCCCAATGTTTAAAGTGTTTGAGAGACCGCTAGTGCCAATACGGGTAGCTTTTATACAGTGGAGATACCAGGGAGTGATGAGATGAAAAGAAAATAAAACACACAATTAACTATAACGTAACACTAGGCTTTTATTTAACTAATTAATTATGTACAAAAATAATCCAGGAAGGTTCACGTCGAATCGTAACAACAGTGAAATAAAATGTATATTTAAAGACCCGTAAAGTAAAATTTACAATAACAACCGTGTACCTCTAGAGTTTTGATCGATTATTCCCGAGATGCAACTCTCTGACTGATTCTATCATGCGAATTCAAAACGCGTTCCCAAAATGACGTTCTATTAAATAAGCCGACGCGAGTTCCTGATCGACGTCGAATTTAGCGGCGTCCTAATGAACACAGACACGTAAGTACCTGAGCAACACACTCTACTATGACGCGACTCTCTAAACGGCGGCGACGTCGTTACAGGCATCCCGATGGTCACAGCTAAATATTTCTTGGAACGGCGTCCGTTTTGACAACGAAACACGGACCTCGGATCGGCGTCGAAGTTAAAAGCGTCCCGGGATACACAAACGCGAGTCCTGGATCGATCGCGAAATTAACAGCGTCCTGTGGGACACAAACGCGAGCCCTGGATCGATCGCGAAGTTCGTCCCGTGGGATACACAAACGCGAGCCCTGGATCGATCGCGAAGTTAACAGCGTCCTGTGGGATACGCAAACGCGAGTCCTGGATCGATCGCGAAGTTAACAGCGTCCTGTGGGATACGCAAACGCGTGTCCTGGATCGATCGCGAAGTTAACAGCGTCCTGTGGGATACGCAAACGCGAGTCCTGGATCGATCGCAAAGTTAACAGCGTCCTGTGGGATACGCAAACGCGAGTCCTGGATCGATCGCGAAGTTAACAGCGTCCCGAGGGATACACAAACGCGAGCCCTGGATCGACGAAGACGTTAGCGACGTCTCGGCGAGTTGTACGTCGTTTGGATAAGCGCAGCCCGCACACACACCGCCCGGTCAGGACAACCTCGGGATTTCGGCGAGATCCCGTCCAGCGTCACTGATGCAGGGTGCCGTCCGGAAGACACACCTAGAAAAATACGGGAGCTACAAAACCAGCCTCGGGATTTGGGCGAAGCCTTGTTTTAGCTCCGTGAACATTCGCGACCCATGCGTTTACTGAACTACCCTGACTGTCCCTTAAGAAGATGAATTAATTATTAGCCCGTAATTAGCTTTCCCCGAGAGGTACACTGAACCGGAACAGATGTCAGACAACCTTTAAAAGAAAAGGACATCATTCCTGGCGAGCTGCCCGTAGCACAGCGTAGTCCCTTTTTGCCTGCTCGGCAATCCTGGCAATTTTAATATTAATGAAGAAAACTACGAACTCTCGTCTCATCAACCGAAAGATACGTCAGACCGGAGCAGATGTCAGACAACCTTTAAAAGAAAAGGACATCATTCCTGGCGACCTGCTCGTAGCACAACGTAGTCCCTCCTTGCTAAAGTATTAGTATTAAATTATCTTTATATTTAAATTACCTTAAAAGAAAAAGCTAGAAGCTATTTTTAAGTTTTTAGATGTGCGCTAGCAGCCGAGATAAAAAATAAGATTTGGTGTTTTTGTTAATTAAGAGGTATTGAAAATATCTGTATTACGTATTTCCTAATATATTTTGGCAATTTGTTTTATTCGCCTAAATAAGGTGATTGATAGTATTTGAATAATCAAATATATTTTTAAACAATCTACGATTATTTTAAGGTAACAGCCGATTTTAATTTGGCTTCATTTAAAACAGCTTAATTTGCCCTATGAAGTGTTTTTTTTAGGTAACTAGCAAAAATGTTAATACCAAATCCTTAACTGAACACCCATCAGATTAAAGAAACAATTAACGATTATTATTCTATCATTCGCCATTGCCACGGAACGACTCCTTCTCCATTAAATAACGAACAAAATTTGTCACGTTTCTGAGATGCCACTCGTGTCGGATTTCTATTGTTTGATCTTTCAGGCATGGGTAAAAGGCCACGATGTTGTGCATCCCTCCAGTTACCCGATACATGGAGATACCTAAAATAGTCTTCGTCTACAAGGCCAGGATTTATATAGGCACTATTCACCTTTCGTAACCAGTTATGTAAGGAACAACAAAACAAGCCATAACAATTTTGTCAACATGTTTTCCGCGTGCAATCATGACTATGTCATTTGCATACCCTATGCAGTGTATTCCCGCTAGAGTTAATTCTTCCAGTAGTTCATCCACTACCAAGCTCCACAGTAGGGGGGAGGTCACTCCACCTTGTGGAGTTCCTTGCGTTGTTTTAACAACTACAGTTTTGGTACCTATCTCAGCTTCTGCTGTTCGTGTTGAGAGCATTTCCCAAAACCAGCGAATTATCGTATTGTTCACCCCCTTGTTTCAAGAGATCGCTTGACCACCTTGTGAGGTATATTGTCAAACGCCCCTGCGATGTCCAAGAAGGCACAAAGTGCTGTTTCTTTGCTATCCAGGCTTGCCTGTATTAGCTCAGTTAACTGGCACAGAGCAGTTTCTGTGGATCTGCCCGCTCTATATGCATGCTGACTATCGTGCAGTGGTTTAACCTTTAGATGATTTACTCTAATATGGTTGTCCAGTATTTTCTCCATCGTTTTTAATATGAACGATCTGAGACTAATAGGCCTAAATGATTTGGGGTTAGCCCAGTCAGTTTTGCCTATTTTGGGTATGAAGATTACTTTCGCTCTTCTCCAGATGGTTAGCTGCTTCTTGTAATGTTTAATAGATGGTGTGTAGCTATTTTCTGACCCTTCTTTAGAAGGGGAAGAAAAATCCCATCTATTCCTGCTGTTTTATAAGGCTGAAATGTGTCAATAGCCCATTTCAGTTTATGTTCTGTTATTACTAGCTTCGCCATCTCCCAGTCTTCCCTGTGATGATTGTGGGGTTCGGTCGGAGCTACTTGCGTATCAATAGATATGCTACCTGGAAAGTGTGTATGAAGTAGGAGGTTGGCTCTCTCTTCATCTCCTTCCGTGTAGCTTCCGTCAGGTTTCTTAAGTGCCATGTTGGGGATGGGCCCACTCTTGGCCATAGCTTTGTGTAGTCTAGCTGCATAAGTAGTTGAAGTGATGTTTTCGTAAAAGGATCTGAAGTCAGACCGTTTGGCTCCGATGCAAGACGGAAAATTCCATTTATTTTTAAACCCAGTCTCTATGCAATTCCATTCTACAGCATTAGCCGGAACCTGAAAAAAAAAAAAAAAACAATTCAACATCAAATTACCCGCTATTTATTAATTTTCTTTAATTTTGAATCACGAGAATTGGTAAAATGTTTTTTAAAAGTTTATTGCTACCCTTACACACGAAATAATAAGGTTTAATTATATTTCTTTAATTACAGTCCAGTCAGTCCAGGGCATCACATGAAATTAAGTTATATGACGATGAAACTCAAGATCCGCAAATTGAACCCCACTTTCAAGAGGTGGATGTAGCTACCGATCCTGCACCGCAGCCGGGACCTTTAAATGAAAGTAGATGCCCTACCCAGGCAACAAAACATTTTACCAAGCTTCAATCTCCAAATACAGCACGCACTGCTTCTGAAGCCAAGTTCAAATCTACTACTATCTCCAATAACCCAGAAACGCCATTAAAAAAACTGGAACGGAAGGAAAGGGTATTGCAAAAAAAGCGTAATGTAGAAAATGAAACACTGGAGTTACTTATGTCTGCAATAGACAAATTAGACAGAATTTCTAAAAGAGCCACAGCTGAAAAAGAGGACAATTTTGATTATTTTGGAAAGTACATAGCCTCTCTCTTACGAACTCTTCCAATTCAACAGGCTTTGTCGCTACAACAAGAAATGATAACCCTTGCTCTAAATGCCCACCGCTCAATTTCAGCGCCAGCGCCATCGCCATTATCACCGTCAAACGACCAGTCTCAAGGTGATGATTTTTCACCTCAAAGTGAGGATACTTGGATCAGCGAGCTGTCTACTGCAATGGACACTTACAACTAATTTTTATTATTTGTTTATTTTTTTTTATAACAAACATTCCAGAAGGGTTTTTACTTTTCTCATGCATCTTTTACTAAACATTATTATTTCAATATGTTTTGTTAATATTTATTAGTACCGGGTGGGTCAAATTCGACGCTTTTAAATGGAAACACCCTTTTCTATAAGAGATAGACGAAAACTAATATCGGTGTCTGGAGCTCAATTTTCATGAAAAACATGATGGTGAAAACCGCACATCAATATCTGTTACCGTTTCGGAGTTACGGGGTGTTTTTCAAAAATGTGCATTTTTAACAAATCGCTGTAACTTTTTTGCTATGGAAAATTTTGTATTTCTATAAAAACATTTCCTAAGCACCTTTTTACGTAGAATTTAATGGCTTAAGTATAATTGTTTTAAAATTAATAATTTAAGAGTTATCAACAGAAAAATTGATTTTTTATTTGGGACACCCTCTATATTTTTAATTAACTGAAAAGAATTTAAAATTACCTTATCAAAAATATAGCACACTTAATATTTTGTCATAATCCCCTTCAAAATACAGAACTTTTAAAAGTTTGCCACTTTTAACTAGTAGGCTTTGGACCCCTTATTGATGATATGCCCTTAATGGAACTCGAAAACATATTTTCCAACAAGACGACGCACCGCCTCTGAACGCTGAAGTTATCAGCAAATTTTTGCAGCCAATTTCAACAATAATTGAATAGCTAACCAAGATCCCTGCCATCGAGGCCGTCTGACTTAGTGCCCATGGATCTAATCCTATGGATATATTTGCGGAAGAATAAAAGTTCCTTATTCTTCTGTATAATCTAGACAAGAATTAGAAATACTTAGCAGTTATGAGAGGATATCTTTCACCCCTACTGTGTTAATGAATTCCGCGAGAAATGTTCAAAAATTGCCCCGTCTGTCCATAACAGAAGACGGTCGTTATGTCGAACATATGTAGCAAAATCTCATGTCTTGGTTTGCTATTTATTTTTATACTTATTAGATATAGTTTAAATGTGTTGTTGTTGGTTAAATATATTTTAAATTGTTATAAAATTTTGCATCTCTCATAGCAAATATTATTTTCGTTTTAATTGATGCTCACAGCTAGAATTTTTTGGCATTAGAGCCGGGGCCGTTCAAAGCCTACTTATTTAAAGCGGGCGAATTTTTATACACTCTATATCTCGAAGAGGAATCGAGCAAAATATCAAGTGTGTTATATTTTTGAAAAGGTAATTTTAAATTCTTTTCAATAAATTAAAAATATACAGGGTGTCCCATATAAAAAATCAGATTTTCTGTTGATAATTCTTAAATTATTAATTAAAAAAAAATATACTTAAACCATTAAATTCTACGTAAAAAGGTGCCTTGGAAATGCTTTCATAAAAATACAAAATTTTCCATAGCAAAAAAGTTACAGCGATTTGATAAAAATGCATATTTTTGAAAAACACCCCGTAACTCCGAAACGGTAACAGATATGCGGTTTTCACCATCTTGTTTTTGACAAAAATTGAGCTCCAGACACCGATATTAGTTTTTGTCTATCTCCTATAGAAAAGGGTGTTTCTATTTAAAAGCGTCGAATTTGACCCCACCCTGTACATACAGCATATTTTTCCTCAACTGTAAATATGGCAGTTACCACCACTTGAACCTGTAACTTTCCGGCATAAAGTTTTAGAATGAAAAGTTTTTTCGTCGGCACAAGGGGCGCTAAGTACTTTGGCAGCCGCCGAGAGAACAAATTGAAACGTTATGCCAAACTTTTTAAATGAAGTGGAAAGAGTTTTTGCCGGAAAGAGGTGCCAGTCGATAACTGAAAATAAGACCGTTGAAAAATATGATGGCAACTGAAATTTCAGGAACTGGAAAATACGTACTAATACAAAGTTATCTTTTTTCCCAATTCGTCCATTTATAAGTTTTGTTTTATTGGATACCTACTAGCCGATCTTTGCCCACTTCGCTGTGGATAAAAATTTGGAACGATATATTTCTTTATAGATCTTGCAATGTGAGTCTTTAAAGAGGAATAATTTCTTTATATATCACACCCAGAACTTAAACAAAATGCTTGGACACGTCAATTATTATATTAAGTTGCTCATATTTCTACATAACAAAGAGGATTGGGAAATAAAATTGCAGAATTTAGAATAAGCTCCTCATAAAAATCGCAATAGGCCAGTCAATCTGGAGGATGGGGTGGAAAAAATTAGTAACCAGCCGATCTCAACGGGAATGTGTAGATAATGATCTCCTATTTAACCCCTCAAAAGTCCCATTTGGGCCCAGTGGGGGAAGTTTGAAAAAAACCGCCGCCATCTTGGATTTTTTCGTTTTTTTTTATTTATTTCATTTAAATTGTTTTTCTTATACAGTTGGCCAAAATATTACTCCTTCAACTTTGTTGAACGAACATGGGTTGTTATACTTCACGATTTCGTAAAAATTCTTTCTTAGAATTTCTTGTTTTATGGGTAAATCGCATTTTAAAGTAATACTAATAATAATTTTGACTTGCCCTCTTCATAGCACCTATTCGAGCAGGTTGGGGGCATGTCTGTTTTTTATGTTGGTGGCAAGCAAACATGTAGGGAAAACAGATGTTTTTCATTCGTTTTTGAACATACATTATTTTCCATTTCATATAGTTTTCCATATTTTGCTCCAACTAGAAAAAACGTACTATATGTATTTATAAACTCTATAAAAATAAAAGTGAGGTTAGTTTAACACTTATTCCTTATTTTCTACAGACACACACAACTGTTTTATATTTGTATTTTTTTTCAACTATCTCAAAAGCTAATTTTGTAATTTTACAAATGTAAATAAATACTTACATTAAATGGTCTTCACAAACGTAGATCTGCCTTTTTGAACAACTTCAGACTGGCGTCTAATTTTCTAGAGCCAGATTTTTCGCCGTTTTTCTTCGATAGGCAACTTATTAATTTTTTTTCTAGGAGTGGAAAGTGTCGTACTCTTGCAGTCTGGTACGATACAATATCGATAAATCATTTTGCATTCGAAAATTAGTAAAAAACTAAACTCAACCCGAAAATCGTAACTCAATAGAATGTGAAAACAAAATAGTTCCTCGTGACGTCACTATCGTAAGCGCGGTCACACACTGTAAATGAAAATGTCGTAAAATCACAACAAATATTGTTGGTTACTTTTGGCCACCAATTATTGTTGCAAAATTACAGTAATTTGTATTTTTCATACCCTGACGTAAATGTATCGTATTTTATAGCATGTAAATTTACTTCTAAAATGCTGGGAAAATCCGAGTAGATTTGATGAAAGTATCATAGTAATATTACTGTTTTATGTACAATTCCGGTATTTTTCCAGTTAGTTACAAAAATTGGGTAATCCTTCTGTATAAAAATTGTATTTTTGCAACAATAATTGTTGTAAATCTAGACCTCTTTTAAATTTCTTTTGGAAATTTACAATATTTTTTTGTAAAAAAAGCCAAAATAACTTATTTAATTTTCTGCTGTTTGTTTGTGATTATATCGTAAAATTACAACGATTAAGTAGTGAAAGAATTTTAGCTTATTATTTTTACGCTAAAAACAAGGCAGGTGTCAAACGTCGTTTCTGGCAGACCTTGAAAATAGAAAAAGGAAGGAATAGCCAACAAAATAATGCCTGGAGGCAATATAACGCCTCTATTTTTATCAAAACACACTGTGTCTGTAAAAATACTAAAAAACTCACTTTCCGAAACATACTTCTTTTAACTAAATAAACTTAAAAAGATATATAAATAAGCAACAGAAAATTTCGTAACAAAATTTTATTGCTGAGTTATCTCAAAACAGGTATAAAAAATGTGGAAATATTTAATTTAACAAAAGAAAAGTTTTCATTGCTTAAAAAGTAAAAAATAAAATAGGTAAAAATAGGTAAAGAAAAAAAAATAAATAGGCACGTATTTGAATTTGACTCCTAAAACTACTCGGGTTTTTTCTCCTTTAATTTCTTAATTAAAGTAAAACATTTTTTTTGACGCAGATTTTTTAGACTCACCGCAACTTTATGCAGACCTTCTTAGATTTCGATCCGTAATCCGGATGGTCGGCAAGTATATATTTTTGGACGACCATTTCAAAACTAGTGCTAACATTTATTAGAAACTTGACTCCAAATATATAGTACAGGCAGAGTAACATACTTCAAAGGCTCCAGTAAAAGTGGCATATCCGTCTTCATTTATGATTTGCCTCTTCATGGCCACATAATACAGTTTCTGGTTTGCACTTGGTTCTAAAATTGAACATGGTAATGTATTGTATGTACTAAACATTTTTAAAAATGCTTTTTTAAGAGCCTGTGCAAAGTTATACAAAGTACACTTTTCCCCATGCATTTTAGTTTAAAGATTTGTACTTTTTTATACTATATGTACTATTTATAGTGCGGACAAGTAAATTTCAAATATCCATCACTTGCCGTTATGCCACAATGGTGATACCAGCAAATTCCATAAGAATATTGGTGTCATTATTGACATAACGGCAAGTGATCGATAAATAAACTTTAGTTTTCCGCCCTTAGTGCGGAAATATAAAATTATTCTAATTGACCAGGATTCTAGCAATCCCAAATAAAATGTGTGTACTTATTCCTTTTTTATTATATTATCAATTATTATTATAGTGGCTACTTTTCTAAAAAACGTTTAAAGCAATAGTTTCTATTATTTATGTTTACTGTAAAATGTACAATTGTCGACAAGTTTGATCGCCGACATTAAAGTCAAAGAAACAAATAATTTTGTTGCGATATTCTTGGACACATGGTTTGCACGTCTATGTACGGCCGCGAGCAAAAAAAAACTGGGACATTCGAGATCATGTGTAATGTGTATATCAGTCAATTTTGAATTATTACACATTCAAAATTGATTTTAGATGTCCCAGTTTTTGAAAGGATTTTTTCGCTCATTCAAAAAAGCCAAAAAGCATTG